ACAAGAATAAACAAGCCTCCAACCGTGCCCCACCGACGCAGACAAACGCGCACAAGAGGAGAAAAGGAGCCCCGAGCAGCCATGGCCCGCGTGTTTTCTGGCCGGCGAACAGGTGCATGCATCTGGCGACGGCACAGGCTGGTGTGCCAAACTCGTGCCGCGGAGAAGGACGCGCGCGGCAGCCACGCGGGGAAGCAAGGCCGGACCCGGACCCTGTTCGCGGAGGCAGACGCGCGCGGGCGCAGGGAACAGGGGAGCGCGCGGCACCGTCTCGGAAACATTGCGCAGATGCCTGCCTGATGCGCTTCGCCTGCTTGTCCCCGAGTCGCCACGCGTTTGGTTGACATCTAGCTCAAGCCCTCTGGCCTCGACCATAGTAGACCTTGTTCCACGAACCGTTACTACGCGGCTGTGCATGCAATAGGATGTCCGCGAACCATGATGCACTGACACCTCTCTCTCGCTCTCTGCCGGTGAGAGGTTAGCGCAAGATGCAAGTGCAAGGTGTACGAACTTCAAAACAGCAGGCACAATAGTAGCGTAACCACCACGTCCTATTGCAACCGGAAAAGAATCTGAATCTGTTGCACACTAGCTTCTGGTACTTCTTGACTTTTTTTCTTTTTCTTTTCTGAGTCCATCAAGGACAACGGTGGCTTCTGGTGCTTGAGACTGTTCCTCAGTCCAACACGAGGACAGTAGCAGTTGTTGACTAGCAGGCAACCCGTAGAGACCTTCATCCCTTGTACTAGGGCGTCCAGTACAGTATTTATTGTAAAAAAACAAGTCACAGTAGCAGGAAAAGCAAATCGAGATGATTTTGACTGATTGGCTGCTCACGTCCTGCATATGATCGCAGCACCAGCACCGAAGACCGGCCACATGGCCACATGCATGCAACGAATCAGATACGCACGCTACACAAATACTAGTAGGCCCTCTCAGTCTCAGGTGGTCAGGGGTCAAGCGCACTGCACTGCTGCAGTGCGCACGCCTCTGCTTATTATGATACGAGTACGTTCGGAGTTGTCTAGTGGCGGCAAACAGCGTAGAGATTCCTTCCAAGTCGTCCCTTCATTCCATTCCATCGGGGTCCTGCTTGTAGCATTGCATAACACTGTTAGTCTTTCAGTACATTCTTGATTCTTTAGAATAATAACCATGGCATTATAAGCACCGATGCTGAAAGTGCTCTGGAATTATCGGAGCGCAAGGCCAGGGAAGCTAGGACTCGCAAAATCCCTTCATTCCATCGATCGGGTGCGGTGCTTGTTGCATAACACTAGTATAGTAATCTTTCAGTAGTACATTCTCTTTTGACTCTAAAGAGTAATCATGGCATCAAGCACTAATGCTGAAAGTGCTCTCGAATTATATATCGGAGTGCAGAGGAAGCTAGGATAGGACTCAGGCGAGACAGACCAAGTCGTGACTAACCTTCCAGCGCTCGATCGTCCTCCTTGTGTCCCGCTTTGGCGGACACGAGAGTACAAAGAAAACCACGGCGACCGACTCTAGCTGTTCACTGCCGCGGTGCCACCTGCCTCACCCTCGCGTGCCGGTTGACTAGGCTCAGGCGGTGAGGGCCGACCGCGTCCGTGGCCGGCCCAGCGACAGGCCAGGCGCCGCCCTTTCCGACCACCGACCTCGCACTCGCACCCCAGACCGACCAAACAAACCGTCACGGGACGGCCACGGGGCCACGATCGAATCCGCCTCGTGCGGCACAGTGTTTTGACGGGAAGTCGGGCAGAACCGCAGAAACAGAAGGCCGCATTCTTCGGTGTCACGAGTTTGCAACCGCTCCGGCCGGCCGGCCGGCCGTGTCCCTCGCGAAGCTGGTCGTGGTGATTCTGGTTTACTCTCTTTTTTTTTTCTGGGCTTAAGGAAGCATCCGATCGAATGGCATTTCGCTGTGTTTTTTTTTTTTGTTAAGAAGAAGAAAAAAGGCGAAAAAAGACAGTGACAGAAAGATTAGACGGAAACCAAGAACCGGAGCTTCGTGGTTTGTTTACCACCACTGCCGCTGCCGCGCTGCAAACTCTAGAGGCGGTGGAAAGATCGGAACCTAGTCCGACTAGGGCCACCCCGTACGTAAACGACGTTGGGCAGGTAGTCAGGGCGTCAGGCCCTGACCTTGGCCGGCCAATGATTGACAATCCCCTTATACCCCATTTAGTCCTAAGTGTAAGTCGTTATAAGTAGTTTATATAAATCTTGCAAAAAAAATCTATAAATGAATGAATCACTAGAGATTTCTATATTTTTCATTACAACATACCCCCTCCATCCCAAATTATATGACGTTTGACTTTTTTACCCTCAAGTTTGACCACTCGTCTTATTCAAAAATTTTGTGTAAATATAGTCAAATTTAAATCATTCTTGAACAACTTTTATTAATAAACCAAGCCATGACAAAAGAAGTGATATTTTGCACAAAATTTTGAATAAGACGAGTGGTCAAACTTGGTGTCAAAAAAGTCAAACGTCTTATAATTTGGGATGGATTGAGTATTTTTTTAGATTTCTAACCACGCGATCTTAATTGTTAGGTCTCAAGTACTAGTGCGTCTAGATGAAATTTGGAGTTTACCTTAAATTATCTAAGTTTGTTTAAATTTATGGAGAAGAGTATTAATAATATCTACCACATTAACGAGGTAAGTTATGGAAATACATTTCATAACATGTCTGATTTATGATCATTTGATACTATAAGTACTGTTATTCTTTTCTATAAAGAAAGTTGAATTTAAAATAGTTTAACTTAGAATGAAGTTAGAATCTTGTATATTTTCAGGATGGATGGTTCATTTAATTAAGTTGCACTGCCCAAATGGTTCTACGCGCAGGTATGTTTTTCCTAAGTTATTATCGTCATAATGCTAGAATCATAGGGGAAAGTAGTTTATAAAGATAGCCCAAATAAAGTATTACATCTGTCCTCAAAAGAATGCAATTCTAGCACAGTGTCACATTTTAATAACTTAAGTTTGACCAATTATAAATAAAAAAAAGTATCCGTATTTATAATACCAAATAAATACTATCAGATTAATTAGTATTTTTATAATAAATTAATTTAAAGACATAACTGTGAATATTACTCACTAAGAACTTGGTTAAACGTGAACTACTTTTCGTGACATATAATCATAGTTATATATTTTTTTTTTAGGACAGAGGTAGCGGAAGCAAGCCGACACCTACTATGCAAGCTAGCCTAGTAGCTCGTTCCAGGAAAGGTTTGCTGCAAGCATAGGTGATGCTGCATCGCAAGCTAGCCTAGTAGCTCGTGTAGTCAATGCGCTGTAGCCGGTCGTCAAAACATATCCGAGAACGACCAAACTGATGAATATTGTAGATCGAATAGTGTGTCAGTGTAGCATGTCAATACTGTATATGTGTAGCAAGTGTTATGCGCTTTGTGCGGCTGAAGAGATGCCAGATCTCAAGCCGCGGACCAACCCCCTGTCGGCCTGTCGCACGGCCCCCACCCGGCAGTAGCCCTACACGAAACTACCGAACTGAACAGCAGCCAGCAGGAAGCAACACCTCATGGTCCACCTTTCAAAGCTTCCCCAAGTCTTCAGATGGATTTTGTACCCCCACCCCCACCCCCACCCACCCATCACCACCAAAAAAAAAAAGGTCTTGAGATGGATCCAGACCCTTTTTTTTTTACAACAAACACAAATTTATTTCAACAGCATCTGATTCTATGCCTTTGCGTACCTTGCTCCTTACGTAAAACTGTAGAAAATAAATATTTTATTTTAATTTGCAGCCTTCGGATTACAGCTAGCTAGTGACTCGCCAAGTCCGGTGAAACAGGAGACGGCCGGGGCTGCACTGTCAGTTTTCACATGGAGAGGAGTATTGTAGTACCACTCCTAAGTCACCGTACTTAGTAGTACCCCTCGGTCAAAAAAAAAATTCACTACGATAACGGTGCTGGTCAAACTTTTCCACCTTTACTAAATTCATAGAAAATAGTACAACAGTTATATCTCCAAATAAATTTATTATAAAAATATATTCAATGATCTATCTAATGATACTAATTATGTATCATATATATTAATATTTTATTAAAAATATTTGGTTAAAAGTTAAAAGTTATTGACTTTTTGGAACTGAGGATGAGTCACTTTCTAAATTTTAGTCGATGTCTTTGGATGTTTGACACATGCATGAAGTATTAAATATAGACTATTTACGAAACTAAATGCACAGATTGAGACTGTTTTACGAGACGAATTTTTTAAACCTAATTAATTCATAATTTGACAATGTGGTGCTTACGTAAACATATGCTAATAATAAATTAATTAGACTTAATAAATTTATCTCATAAATTATTAACATATTCTATAATTTATTTTTTATTAGTATCCGAACACCCCGAACACAACCAACGAACGTGAACGTGACACCTCCGAAGTGGCTCAACTCAACTAGCTCTCTACATCACCACCGTACCTTTCACTCCATTGAATTCCCCCTTGCACTTTTCGGTTTCAATGAATCCTCCGGTGGTGGCCCTGCCCGGCCGGTAAAATTAAAGAAGACACGGCCCCCATAACTTATTGCGTCCTCCGGCCCCCACGTGTCGATTCCTGGCCGTGCGTACGACGCCGCCCCACGAATCGTGCGTGGCTCACGGTCGAACACGGTCACGGACTCACGGGCCACCCAGCCAGAGCCTTTTCACCGTGTGAAGGTGCGCGCGGCAGCACCAGCACACTGCACACCCATGCAACACCCCCCAAATAAAAATCCGGGCAATGCAACCGGTCGCAGCTGCCACGCGATGCTGGCCCCCTGCTTGCTCTATATATAGACGCGGTGGACGCGCGTTTTGATATGAGCCATTGCTAGCAAGTGTTGTGCACCAAGCTACTACGTGCGTGTGCGCCATACGTGTAGCTAGCTAGAGAGTGTAGCACTACTGATCACACGTATCTTCCATGCGCTACGTAGCTGCCACTCCGACCATGCCGGCCTTGACGACCGCGGAAAGCGCCGCCGCCGAACCACCTCTGGCGGACAGCTACCTCGACCTGCTCCGCCGCGGCGGCGGCGGCATTGCGCCGCCGACGACCGAGGGCTGCTGCGTGCAGGAGCGCGAGCTGCCCTTGATCGACCTCTCGTGCCTCACGAGCGGCGGCAGCAGCGCGAGGGAGAGGGAGGCGCGTCGGGTGTGCGCGGACGCCATGGCTCGGGCGGCCTCGGAGTGGGGCATCTTCCAGGTGACCGGGCACGGCGTGAGCCGGGCGCTCCTGGAGCGGCTGCGGGCGGAGCAGGCGCGGCTGTTCCGGCTGCCGTTCGAAACCAAGGCCAAGGCCGGGCTGCTCAACGGCTCCTACCGCTGGGGCGCCCCCACGGCGACGTCGCTCCGCCACCTCTCGTGGTCCGAGGCCTTCCACGTCCCGCTCGCCAGCATCTCCGGTACTGCCTCCTGCGACTTCGGAGACCTCAGCTCCCTCAGGTATGCTGCACGCTTGCTTTGCCCTGTATTTGCATGGCCTGTATATCTGCTAGTAGCTGTATCTATGGTCTATTGGTCTTCCACCCCACAACTTGTTACTGTAGCGTTGTTTACGGGTAGCTTGCTAGCTACATGGGGTATGCATATCTTATATTATTATCAGCCGCCTTCTTAATCATGACCATGTAGTGCCTGTCAATAACAACAGAGAAATGCATGCCTATCAGTAACAGAGACGCGCGGGAGGTATCTTAGTGATGAGCCAAAAGAAAGCCCTTGTCGATAATAGAGACGCGAGGTAGTTAATGAGTGAGAAAGTGGAGACATGCTATCACATATATGTGCATCTCGTAGGTCGTACGTAGCCGCAAGCACATCGGCACATGTGTGCTTCGGATGGCCATGGGTATCTCTAATAATATCTTTTAGGCCGGGGCCACCCACAAGCCACAAGGCGTAGCCGTGTAGGTGCTCACACACATATATGCAAGGCGTACGTCCTTGCTGGGTGCGTTTTCCGTGCTAGTACTCCTCACGTGACCAAATAGCGGCAAGCTCGGTTCTGCAAAACTCGGTCACCAGTCCCGCCCCGCCCGGGATATTTCTCTTCTCCCCGTACGCTGCTCCTAGATCGCGATGTACATGCCCGCTATATTCTTTTACATCCTCCCCATCGCAACAAATAATAAAAATTCTGAAAGTTCAACGGCGCACACACGGCCGGCCTGCTGCTCCAGACTTGGCTTTCGACCTTTATATTCTGGGCGCTACGAGTCAATGCGGGATGGTATCATGTGTGCGGCGGTGTACATGACCACGAAACATGGGAGCTTTTAGTACACGAACCCGATTTAACGCCGTCGTGTCCATCCAACCAGCCTACCAACACGCCCAGCTTCCATCATTGATACTCCTACATATATTATTAAATAAAAATCCTTTCCGGCACATGCTGTGTCCCTCAGGCCGGGGCCGGGGAAGTAACGAAATATCCTAATGACACGTAGGTACCATAAAATCATTTCTGGCACTGCACACTTAGTATGGACTGCCGTACTGGGTACTACTGGTATTTTTACCGTGGTAAATTAAGAAAAAAAAGGCAGCGCCGTCGCCGTCGCCTAAACAGAGCAGTGCTGTGCATGCAGGAGCGCGATGCAGGAGGTAGCAGATGCGATGTCGCGGGTGGCCAAGACCGTGGCGGTGGCGCTGGCGGGGAGCCTGCTGCTGCAGGGCCACCGCGACCACGACCACGAGGCGGCGGCCACGGCAGCGTCGTTCCCGCCGGGCTGCGACGAGACCACCTGCTACCTGCGGCTGAATCGGTACCCAGCGTGCCCGTTCGCGGCGGACACCTTCGGGCTGGTGCCCCACACCGACAGCGACTTCCTCACGGTGCTGTGCCAGGACCACGTCGGGGGCCTCCAGCTCCTCAAGGACGCCCGCTGGGTGGCCGTCAAGCCCCGCCCGGACGTGCTCATCGTCAATATCGGCGATCTGTTTCAGGTAACAGTGCTCCTTCATTCTCCACCGCTGCCGCTGAGCATCTTTTACGTGCTCAAGTTTTGACCACGCACGTACGTGCAGGCGTGGAGCAACAACCGGTACAAGAGCGTGGAGCACAAGGTGGTGGCCAACGCCACGGCGGAGCGCTTCTCGGCGGCCTACTTCCTGTGCCCGTCGTACGACTCGCCCGTCGGCACGTGCGGCGAGCCGTCGCCGTACAGAGACTTCACCTTCGGGGAGTACAGGAGGAAGGTGCAGGAGGACGTCAAGAGGACCGGCAGAAAGATTGGGCTCCCCAGCTTCCTCAAACAACAGCCACACTCGATGACGACGGCCCGCTTAGACCACAAGTCAAAAGCACCTGTTGCCATTTTGCCGTAAAGATTGAGATGACGGAGGTAATACATAGTACCAGGGGGCGGATCCAGCACTTGGGCGGCCGGGGCTCGAGCCCTCGCTACCGTCGCCGGATGCATAGAGCCCCTCTTAAGCCTCCGTTATAAATTTATAGCCATTGAGCTTTAGAAGGAGAGGCTAAGTGTAGAAATTAAGAAGAATAAATCCCTCCTAACCTGTATTTATAGATCAGTACAGGTCACTATACAACGAAGTGAACGAGGACAACGTGTGCGCTTATCAAGCTATCGTCATTATATACCTTTACCGACTTCCGCTGGAAGAAAACGTTCTTTTTTTTTCTTTTTCTTTTTTTTTTCCGATGCTGGAAGAAGACGTTTAACTGCATACTCCATACTGTACTATCCCTCTTCTAGACAATCTACTTTACTGTCTACGTAGGTAATTTACTTTCTCTGTTTAGTTTATCCCTTTTTACTACTACTAGCAAAAATGTAAGTGTGTTATAATAGTACATACAATCTGTAGCGCGATGACATTGATAATAAGATAGCTATTTTTGTTGAATTTAATAAGGTTTAGTCCAACATTAAATCGCACAAATTTTATGGACCATAATAAAACCAAACTCAAAGTAAGAAGGAAGGGAGTGGATCTAGTGATGGAAAAGGAGTGAGAGAGACGATGTAGAAGAGAGTGGAAACAGAAGAAAGAAAATATACCGCTTTTTAGTATTTGCTAAAAAAACATTTATTTTAGACTACCAAGGTGGCATGTTATTGTACATTTAGGTTTTTTATTTGTTTGATTACAATTGTCCTCTCTTCTTATATCCTCACTACATTCAACTGCATGTACTTAATGTAGCTATCATTGACAAATTCCTTGGCATCAAACTTTTGGGTCTCCCTTTCATCTTTCTTTTTCTCATACTCCTATTCAATGGCTACTGCAGTTCCTGCCAAGGCCAAGTCAAGGCACCATTTACTTTCCTTTGGTGAACTCCATACCTTAATAAAATCATTGATTAAGTCTCTCATAAATCATTTAGTTTCTTGGCTCTTATACCGGCTCTGTTTGGAGCCGTTTTTCCCCGCTCCGCGAAGAAAAAAACCACACGGAACCCCCAAACGCGTGCAAGAGCCAACTTCTTTTGCCCGCGTCCTTTCAGCTTGGAAGCGGAAGCTACTCAGAGACAGTTGTGGCAGAAATCTACCGAGATTCTTCCCTACCCTCATGGTTGCGAACTCCGACTCTCTCGGCCCCCACGCTCGCTCTTCCTCTGGCACCCGTGCCTCATCTTCCTCCTCGCGGTAGATTCAGCCGAGCGCCCCTTCCTCCTCCTCTCCACCTCCTCACGACAGTCGAGATCGGGGCAAGGGCACCTCAGGGTTGCCGACGCCCTTGTGCCTTCCTCCTCGTTGACGTCTGCGCCCCCTCTTCCTTAGCCCGCGCCCCTTCCTCGTCGTGGTGGCCTTTCACCTCATCGGCGCCCTCGCGCCTTCCTTCTCGCCGAAGTTTGTGCCCCTTCCTCCTCGATAGTCTGCGTCCCTTCATCATCGCAGCGACCTTTCTCCTCGCTACAACGCCTGAGATAAGGTGAGATACACCTAGGCGAGGGGTCACCGATGCCCCCCACCCCGCGCTCTTTGTCCTCGCCGGCTCCAGAAGGAGGCCACGACTGCTGTCGTTGGTTGAGGTCACCGGGTTCTTCTCGGTATAATCGGTGTCCCGAACGCTCTGCTTTTTCTTCCTTTGTTTCTTACAAAATCCAGCTTACCTAGAAATCGAGCTTTGAATCTAAGCATGGGCAAACTAAGCTGTCCCAAACAAGGTCACCATCTCTTGTGAATATGTAGTTGCCTTTTACCCTAAAACATTGCTTGATTCATCATAATGACATCATGTCTACCGGAGCTATCCTCATGCCAAAATCTATTGATGCCTCAAGCCTTTCTAAACAAGCTTTTTAACCATCACTAATGACAACAAGTTGCTGATTTAGAGCCTGTTACCCATGCCACTCTAATACACTGTTGTTATCCATTCTATAACCATGCTTGTTTAGTATCGTCACCAGCTTCTCGCGAAGAAAGAAAAGGAATTCTAATCATATTTGTTATGCTACTATTGGGATTGTTACGCATAAGCATCAAGGAATTGATGGATCAATTGTACGTAAGATATAAAAAAAGCGATATGATTTTCATGGTTTATTCATAAACTTGATTGTCGGAATATGTTCCTCCCCTAAGTCACTACAAGTCAGTTTTGATCCTTGATCTTTAGAATCAAGTTATTTCTCCTTTCTCAGTGCCAATATTGAAGTCAAAACTTTATTACCAGAAACATGGGGAAGAACGACTCTGTGAACTTAGGGCCACGACAAGAAGATAGATAGAGATGGCGAGGCATAGAGATGAGAAGATAGACAAAGATGACGAGGCATAGAGAAGGGGTGGGGGTAGCGTGGGGATCAAAAGTTTTTTGATGGGTTTTGTTTATGGGCATACCAAGACGATGATGTCCGACATAACTCTAAGCATGCATGTAATCCCTCACATGGACGTTCCATATGGTTTTCTTGATTTTGGCGTAATCTTGTTCGAACATTGATTGAATTCCCAATCTATCAACATCTCCTAATCGCCGTCAGCATGTAGACCTGTCCAAAAGCGCATAATAGCACTAGCATGGCACACTATTTATGCAGGATTGTGAATTAATTTGCATTCAAAGCAGGCCTTATTTGGGGCTTTTCCAAATTGCCCAGCAGGTGGCAACGATGCCAAAAACATAGAGCCATTTCTTGCACCATTTCCAACACTGTTGAGGAGAGCTGGGAATATCATTAGCACCAAGCCAAGGCAACTATGGTCCAAACTATTTTAGCTACACTGCAAGAGTAGAATAGATGAGCAATGCTTTCAAGTTGATTACAGAAGTAACATGATGGATCCCCCTTCCACTTCCTTTTTATCATGTTGTCTTTAGTAAGAATGGCATTATTCTCCAATAAGCCACATGAAAATCTTGATCTTTGAAGGAAGTTTTCAAGATGTATTTATACGAGGAGCCAGCTTCATTGCAAGTCAGTGCATCATACATGGTTTTGACGGGAAAAAAACTCCCCCTTTTTACCGAGCCTCCACCCTATGATATCATCATCCTCATGTAATTTAAGTTTGACCAAAATTATATAAAAGTTCACTAACAATTATAATAAAAATAAATATCATTAAATTAATTATGAAATATAGTTTCATAATAAACTTAGTTGGAGACATAATTGAATAATATCCACTGTAAACTCAGTTAAAGTTAAACTAGTTTGACTTCCATGCATCTCATAATTGCATTCTTTAGCAGAGGGAGTGAGCATCATTTAAAATGTTGTCCCAATCAATGCGTTTCCAATCATACCCAGTAGGCCCCGGTTGCAAATTTGCAAGGTTTCGTCACCGCTTCGGCGGCACCCATTTTGCCGGAATGCGGAATCAACTCTTTCTTTTCGAAAGGCGATACACACACGAAGCTCCTGGAACAGGACGGATCATGCAATGCAAGGACGAGTCGACGCACACATCCGACTATATGATACTATTCTTGTGTGCAAGTGGGTATGAGCTTTCACGGTTTCTGGTGCCGACAATGTACGGCATGCAGGCAATCAGGCGTAACTAAGATGGCTAGGAATATTGAGATTCTGGTAGGATATTTTTCTTGCCTCATAGTATCAGCTCGTAGAATTTTGATTATAATATCAGATTTCTATCGGATTTTATAAAATATAATTTTTACATTAAATTTACTAGCAAACGTGGTCGTGCATTCTTCAACAAAACCAATTGGCAGGCGACGTTGCCATCGACAGTGAGACGCCTATAGTAATTTCGTTAAACTCGAGGATTTGTCGGTTCAGTCTCCGAAGACGCTCATATGGGTATGATGCCTACGTTGTACTTTGGAATCGCAAACAAAAAAAGAAAGAAAGAAAAGTCTACTACACTTAAATTTCAGCCATTCCATCATGGATGCTGCAGCTCGAATACTGGTCGTCGCAGTCGAGTCCCACTTTGATCGTGGAAGACGGGCCAGATCCGGGCTTTTCCTTCTCGTCACAAAGACGAACGTCACTACCTCCAGCCTCCAGGCACCAGCGTGACAGATTCCAGTGCCCAGCGGCCGTCGAGCTCGACGCACACATCCTGACATCCACATCGGACAATGATGCGCTTGCATGCAAGTGGGAGCGAGCTTTCCCGGTACCTACAACTCTATTTCGTGAGGATTGGTCGGTATGCTTAGATGCCCGTTTGTATTTTTTACAGCAATGATTTAAGAGCCTGACTGGAATCAGAAAAAAAGCGGCTCCACAAATGTTAACGACAAGATAATCCGGCGAGTTTTCCTTTTTGAAAACAATATTTTGGCAACTTTCTTCTTTTAGAAAACTACTACAAAACTACAACCACAGCAAAAGATAGTAAGGAGAATACCAAAAAAGACAATACGAAAAAAGATGAGGACAACCACGAAGACAAGGGATTCCAAAAATCTAGGGGACGGTAGCGGTGATCTTCGCCGGGGCCCTAGATTTCAAAAGCAAACATCAAGAAAAGCTAGCTCTACGAACCATCATGGCAGCGGAACCGGCCACTCCAAGATATCTTAATTGGTCGCAATATACAATCCAATTCTCAAGAGAAGACCAATGGACTAGCGTAGGAAACGCAGGCCATTACCCACTGGTTCTAGATCCAGCCATCGCCGGTATGACTGTCACAAAAGTGCTAATTGATGGAGGAGCCGGACTCAACATTATTTTTTCAGAAACACTAAGGAAGATCGGACTACAACTCGTCGGAATAATTACACCAAGTACTCCTTTTTATGGGATAGTACCCGGCAAGACAGCCATGCCACTTGGGCAAATCACTCTACCAGTTACTTTAGGAACACTCTCAAACTACCGTATAGAGTTCATTAAGTTTGAAGTTGCAGACTTCGATTCATCATATCAG